ATGACGTTCTAAATATGGAGACGCTTTTGGTGTCATTCAGTGAGAGATGGATGTCAACTGGCCACGGTTCAATGCCAACATGGTGATGATCAGTGGTGTTCAGAGGCGCGGCCAACTTTTCAGGTGCAAAGCTAATAGTAAAGGGAGCACACGTTTTGGGGAGGCAGCTAAAGAGACGCTGGCAGAGAAGCTCTCCACGTTGGTGTAGGGGAATTTACGCGGTCCCTGCTTCTCTTTTCGGAATAACCAAGACGAATCTTTACTTCCAGTGCGGAAAAGGCCTTCTATCCGGCTTGTCTGCAATCGATACGGAGCTGCAAGAGAAGCAGTTGAGCTTTCATTTGCTCTGAATTATGTCTGCTGCGGTGGTGCCAGCATTGGCAGAGGTGGTAGGATGCTCGCTGGGTGTCTCGGCCAGTTCAAAGGAAACCCAATCTTTGCAAAACTCCCTGAGCCATAGTGGAAAACAGAATCCGCTGAAATTGTCAAGGCAACGCTGCAACTTGTGCTGTAAACCATCAGCATTGGACATCGCTCAGGATGCCGGCAGTCAAGGTGAACGGCGAAGGTGAGAGCCTCACTTTCATGAAGATTTAAATCAGGAGTTATCAGCTTCACAATAAAAAGTGGGCTACCCTGACGGGTGGGGTTACTTTGGGGTTTAGGCTGGATATGGGTGTGGAGCAGGTAAGTCTTCGGCTTTAGTGTTTTGTTAGGGGGAGCTTTTTATTCCTGAGCCTTATGACTCCTGAAAACTCCCATCACCTCGCTTCCACACCCCCGCAGTGCTACGTCGTGTACTGAGGCGCTGCGACGTCGAGCAGCCAGCTTTTTTTATTGTGATGCTTACAGTCTATGCTCGCTTTAGTGAGAGTCTGCACAGCAAATCATTTTGTACTCCTGCGCCAGAACAGTTCTGGACTGGGGATAAAAAGAAAGCCCCTTGATGGGCATTGTCGCAGGCTGAGCACGTCCCGAAACGAACTTTGCTTGCATGCTTTTTGGACTTCGTGTTCTGGTTCCTTGCCGTTAAAGCGAAATGATCGAATGAGCAACGAAGTATCGAGTTGCTAACAGAAGAGCATCTGTGATGGCCCCCTCTCACTGGTGTTGGAGGTACCAGGTGGACTCTGGTGATCATCAGGGCAAGTCGTAAGACAGCTGCCAGGTTTGCGGGGCAAATCTCCATGGCCAACTCGGAATCGCGGGACTCGTATGGTAATCCATACCTGTCTATCGAATTGAGCAAACTTCTGTGGCCCGCAGAACCTCTCTCCAAGCGTCAGAAAGTGGGGCTGAAAAGGTGGCCGCTGCAGAGGAGTGGACGGACCCTTGGTTGGAGCGGTTGCCACCAGACACCTCCCCGATCTACTCGCACAGTCTCCTATGCATAGAAGCCTGGTTGCGAAAGCTTGGGTTTGTGCAAGTTTTGGACGACCCCGCGTGGTGGACGATCATGCGGGACGATTGGCATGCCGAGCTGCGGTTAGATGTTGTGGACATATCAGTCACGTGAGTGCCCGCTTCATTTTGACTGAATTCTATCTTTCAGCACTAGATTTGCAATTGCCATAGCGCTCGCTGATTCACAAGTGCATTGACATGGGACCTGCTTAGCCTTTGTGGCAGGCCATAAGCAGATAATTAGAAGAACGGTCCTTAAAGTGCCTGGTTGAAGAGCAGTTCATGAATGGCGTTTTCTATTTGTGGACTGCCTGTGTGTATCTTCAAAGCCTCTGTGTTCAATACATTGTTGCTGCCTTCTAGAGCTTCCCTCGAATTTGGGCCAGAACGTTAGTTAAAGCCCTGAGTTAAAGCCCTGATTGAAGCCTGGTTGATCAGAGTCGGTTGTGGCAGAGAACTAACCACCCTGCTTGTTTTGAAAACTGTGCAAGGCCATGGCTCTCATGTGGACTCCCTAGAAGGTTGATCCAGATGACGAAGCTCATGAAAGTTTCACAGCAACTTAATTCCGTTCCCTTGTTGGTGTCCACGTTAAACGCATGTGTAGTAGCATCTAAAACACGTGTCATTTTTCAGGTATTTGAAAGCAGGTCCGGGGAAGCTACCGCGGGATATTGAGAAGAGGTGGAGCTATGGTTTGAGTAGGAGGGACTTTGAAGCTGCTATTATGGCTGGGCCTTGATCCGCTCATCACAGGTGTTTCGAGTTGGTGTAGGGGTCGCTGATAAACATAGCCGTCCGTTCATTGTTCATAAGCTGACGACGAAAATTGTCCACTGGAATTTGGGTTGATATGTACACTGTAGGCCACAGCCGCCAAATTGTGGACCAATTGCAGTCATCCGTGTCGCATGTTTCTGTCCTTGACACGGCTTCGTTCGACATGACGTATCTTCCAGGCGGGCTTGAATCTATCTGCAAACCATAGGCCCGTTTTCGAGTGCATGGCAGCTAGCTCGTATTGATCTTGTTGGTCGGTTACCTTAACCTGAAGCGATTTGAGCTTTTCTACTTCTGCGCACCCTGGTTTAGCAAGATTACTGGCACGTATTGTTAAGTCCTTGCTTCTCATGCATCGCCCTTTCATGTGAAGCAAGGTACTAGCCAACTCGAGACCATTCGGCCCTGCATGTGCATCCGGCCCTGACGTGCAATTGTGGTGTGCATTGAAAAATGGTTGACATGCCATGCACAAGACCATCGCAGCCCCTGTATAGAAGCAATTATAGACGATGCAGAAACTGTGGGTATTGCGGAATGTCGAGATATATATCTAGCTGTACCTGGTAACCGGTTACCATGCAGCATGCAATCTGCAATCGTCCTCTAACATGCATGTCTTGTATACTTAGGCCTATCAATATGTTCAATCAGACCAAGACAATGATGCAGACTCATTAATGGCATGACACTGAATCACTCAGAAAGTTGAAACTTCGAGATTCCTGCCAGATGTCTGCAGCAAAATTGGAATGGTTTTGCCGTCTCTTTATAACATGGACATAGCCGTCCATTGCAACCAGAATTGCCTTTCCCACCTTATCAACTGACAAAGTGTGGAACCCTGTGCTTTCGTGATGAACCTGTTCGAGGCTGACCTTACACACGTGACCTTTTGTAAATGTATCTATATGTCCGTCCGCTCGCGACTTCCCCCAAAAAAGTCGCCCATCATTGAGATTTCTAGCAATGTGTCAAAGAGTCCCCAACAACCTGCCTACTCGTTGATGTAAGACCGAGGGTCCGGGTAGACACGCATCCGCTGGCCCCATGCGACCTTCGCGGTAGCTCTCTTCCGCCGGACCTTCACACCAACCGAACCCCCCCGTCGCGTCACTTTGTTTGGTAGCTTCCACGTGTTGATGGACACAACCCGGACTTGGAAAACAGCTTCTAGGAACGAGCGAATCTCTGTCTTGGTGGCCCTGTCGTCAACCTCAAACGTGTACTGATTGTTGGCCCACTGGGAGGAGTGCGTGCGTCCGTAAAGAGGGTTCCGGACAGGGTCCATTGTGGCCTGCTCAAGGCGAAGAGATCGTTCAGATGGAGGAGGCAGTCTGTACCAAGGAACAGTATGGTGACCTTGTCTGAGTCATACGCATACCGCCACATCCGAACCGGACTATGCGACTCTTTTGGATTGCTGCGATCATGTTTCAGAGACCAGCGGTCTTGGCCGTGGACGATTTGACCTCTCAGACTCTGAATGCCCAATTCAATTCTACCAGTTCTTAAACCCTATTTCATAGATGTCACACTGCAACAAACTGTTGGTCCACTTGGGGGAGATTAACCACGGATGAGGCATCGCACTCTAAGCCATGACCCACACCTCGTTGAAAATACGGTCCAACCACGAAAGATAAAGCTTAGCTTCCAAGGAACTAAGTGCGCCAGGCTTGACATTTGCACGATTGGGCGGACGCTGAACCCTAAAACAGAGTACCCGCCCGCTGTGCTTCGCGACTTGTAAACCTTGCAGAGGCTTTTCTTCCTTGGACAATGTGGGCACCGAATGATGGACAGTGATATGATGGTAGCAAACGAAAGCTGCTAATCCAAAGCTGCTGATTCAGGCCCATGTGCAGCAGCACAAATGTGCAGTTGCTGGGGCAACCTGAGATTGAGGACGATAGAGCCACATTCCATGTAAATACTGAAGCCACAGATCGCTGTATTCGTTTTGGGCAGAGTCTCCTCTCGCTACTTTTTGTATACCAATATGTCTTCGTTTGCGTCCATGCCATTGCTTAGAATCTCAAAAGAGGAAGTTTCCCGAGGCACATAAGAGGCCAAAGCCAAGGTAGTCTGCAGAGCTTGCCGTCCGCATAACATCGTTACCATTCCATGTATTGACTCCGGCAAGCACTCCCCTTGGTTGAGCCCCAACTAGTGCTAGACCCAGCTTTTTCTAATTATGGCTGCTTGAGCGGTCTCTGCTTTCCTCGGCAGTGCTCCTAAGGCTCCCCATCAGCATATTGTCATTGCATCTCTTGAAACATAGCACTGGATCATTGTGAAAAGCAACTTACCTGGGGAGCCACGGTCCTCGGCCGCCTTGCATTTGCAGTCTGAGGCCGTGCTGCTGTACTCTTTGACTGGCCTAGAGCTCCAGCCGCTTTCAAGCCCGAGAAAGAAGGGAGGGCGGAACGAGTTACATTTGAGAGTGAGCGGGTCGATCTTTGATGGAGGGCTGTCGTGGCTTGGCAAGCACCCAACCGGGAGGCCACAGCGGCGGAAGCCATGGCCGCTCTTTGCGCTTTTCGATATCTAGATTCTAGGGGTTGGAGTCGGACAATGCTAATCCCCACTCGCTTCTATGCAAGGCAGACAGGAGGAAACCGAGGACAATTGCAGTCAGGTGCGCAAATTGGAGTATATTCTGCCCCCGCAACATTCAGCAGCAAGGCAGATGAGCTGGTGAAACGACATGGTAACGGTCGCTAGCAGTTACGGGCTGACAATCTAGACATTTTTACTTGCAGGTTCGGACGACCGACACCCGATACCGTTTCCAGATCCGACTCACCCTATACGAGCACCAAAAAATGCTTGGCATATATTGCAAAATCTTAAATAATACTCAGAAATTGGATGGAAAAGATCAAAATTGGGAAGAGAGAAAAGAGATTCGAGAGAAAGCCGGGGCGGCCAAGATACATAGCTAGCTAACGAGAGACGGGGGGGGAGAGAGAGAGAGAAGTGATTCTCGTGCAGAGGATGCAGGCGTTCTTTTGCAAGTCCAGGAGGTTCTGTTAAGAGTGAGACATCGAATTGCCTGTTGCCATCCAATACCAGCTTGAACAACAAGGCCCAAATTGGAAGCGTCAGCTTCGGTGCAGCTGAAAAGAAGTGGGGGTACTGAGCCAATCACTGATAGGGTGATAATCCTGCGCACTGCAGCTTGAGCCATGCAATGCTGGCCGTAGACAGGTAGCTGCATGTATGTAGGAGCTGATTGACAGAAGCGCTTGAATGAGTAGAAACCTCTCCTGCTCAGGATTCTGATGTTTCCCTCTGCAAAAGATGCAGAGCCAATCAAACGTAATACTCCTGGGCCAGCATTTCCACCGTTGTGCCTCTTCCTGGAAGCTGGAAAACACACATATTTCCATCTGAACAACGTTCACCAGGCCGCTTCTTCTCTATGGAACCCCTCCTGCAGATTCCCTCCCTTCCCATCCCCCTGCTAGTAGCCCTGCTAATCACTCCCCTCTGCGCCCTGCTTCTGAAGAATTGGCTCTCTCACACTTCCCCCCCCCGACCAGCCTCAGAGCAGCCCCCCAGAAAGCTGAAGTGGTACAGAAGCGGCCTGCCTATTATAGGGCCCGCAATTGAGTTTCAAAAGGCCCCAAATGTGCTGCTATTGAAGGCACGGAGGGAGCTAGGCGACGTCTTTGGACTGAACCTGCTTGCAAAGCGGTTTGTCTTCGTGACTGGGCCAGAAGCGCATAGGTGAGGGATATTGGTCGTGCCCAAACACGTCTTCTGAAAAGCACTTGGAGGACGTTTTGAACCTTGGGAGGTGTAAGGGTGACCACAAGAAGTGCCTGCAGCAATCCCAATTCTGACGAGTTCCAAGTATGAGGACTCATCGGAAAACGATAGAACTTTGCACGTCAATACTTGTCCTGTTTGAAAAGTCAGCTGTTCCACATAACCAGCAGTCAGGCACGTACTTCTCAACAATGAGTCCAGCGGACCCTCAGACAATAGTTGTGCTTCATATTTCTTCTACCTTCTCTATCCTTGTTGCTCAAGTATTGAAGGGCCATGTCAGGCTCTCCACACACAGGACCGTCGTCAATGCACCCAAGTGACACAACTTGTTTTGTCACCACTTTTCTGAAGTTGATCTCTGCAACAATCCGTGTGGCCTTCATCACATGTTTGGATCGGATTCTTTGCCATAGAACACATGGGGCCTATGAAATGAGTTTTTTTCTCCCAGATGCAGCTGAATTGGTACCGAATCCCCAATGGTAATGTACCATTGCTGCAAGCAACGACGTTAGCCATGCTGTTGAAGATGCTTGTTGACGAGAAACGTCGACAGTTCTTGACATTTTGAGAGTCATATCAGCCAAAAACACATACCCCCTAGTCGCAAAACCCCAAACTAAGCCGACCATTTGAAATTCACCTTTAGGTGCTGCTACCTATTAGAAGCTCGCCCTTCTCTTTCAACTCGCAGGTGGTTTTTCAACGGCGACGACGGCACTTCGAGCTGCGAGCTCGCGTTTGAGAAGGCGGTCCAAGAGCTGACGAGCCACCTGTTTGGTAATATCATGTTCGTCACCCCCGGTTGGCCGGAGCGGGCGCGCAAGGTCACTGTGACAGGTCTGGGTACGCTCCAAAGGTGCTTCTCAAGAAGCTTCGAAAACTTCCACTTTTGGTCTTCTCTTTTCTTGTCCTTCTTTCCTACTCGTTTTTTGTCGTCTTGAGAATTTTTGTCGGTCTTGTGAGTTTTCCAAAATCGCTCTCTTTTCCTTCGCATTGAAACTTTTCAGGTCTCTGCTCAGGCTCCGAGGCACATCTCAAACAGTTGGAGCGACTTTCTGAAAGGCACTAGCTGAAGCCCGTTGGTAAATTGCCTCCAACCGATCATCCTTCTCAAATTAGGTATTCCTCTCACATCGCATTGTCTTACTGCATCTCTTCCTCGATACCATCACTGTCTAAATATTAATTCGGTAAGCTAACAAACTACACCGGCATTATCGAAGATGAGGTTGAAGTAGTTATAGTTTCCTCCAGAGCCACGAAAGAGTTGTCAACCCGAAACTCTTAACCGCAGGTTAACCTACTACACTGGCATTATCCAAGACGAGGTCGACCGCTCTCTTGCCGCCTGGGCGCAACTAGGCGCGGTCGACCTGTTCCGCGAGTGCTCCCGGCTCGCCATGACGCTCCAGATCCGCTGCCTGCTGGGAGATGACGTCAGCGAGGGCTTCCCCGAGCTGAAGGATCTGTACTACGACTTTGAGCACTTGGCGGCGCTTCCCGAGGTTGCGCAATTTGGATGGTTCCCGAGCGCTACGGCTCGGCGGTTTGCCAGAATAAGGTGAGTTCTCAAAAGCGCGCTGTTTCATGGTCCTTCCAGGATTTCCAATCATCGGATGTGTTTCTTTATCTGACGGCTTTCGAGCTGAAGGATCTGTACTATGACCGTGAGCGGTCGGCGGCGCTTCCCGAAGTTGCGCAGTTCGGGTGGTACCCCAGCGGTACAGCTCGGCGGTGCGCACAATCAGGCGAGTTCGCCATATAAAGATTCCACGTTCTTGTGCTTTGAATGCTTCCACATCTTGAACGTGTTATGAGCTCAAGAGTCGTTTTACAATTTGAGCGCTTGGCGGTGATTTCCGAGTTTGCGCAGTTCGGATGGTTCCCGAGCGCTACGGCCGGGGTTCGCCAGAACCCACGAGACTTCGCAAAACCGCGCTGTTTCCTGGTGCTTCCAGGGTTTCCAGTTATCTGATGTGTTTCTCTATTTGACGTCTTTCGAGTTGAAGGATCTTTACTACAACTGTGATCGCTTGACGGCGCTCCCCGAGATTGCGCAATTTGGATGGTTCCCAAGCGCTCCGGCTCAGCGGTTTGCCAGAATAAGGCGAGTTCTCAAAAGCGCGCTGTTTCATGGTCCTTCCGGGGTTTCTAATTATCTGATGTGTTTCTTTATTTGACGTCTTTTGAGATGAAGGATTTATACTACCACTTTGAGTGCTTGGCGGCGCTTCCCGAAGTTGCGCAGTTCGGGCGGTACCCCAGCGGTACAGCTCGGCGGTTCCGCACAATCAGGCGAGCTCGCCATATAAAGATTCCACGTTCTTGTGCTTTGAATGCTTCCACATCTTGGACGTGTAATGAGCTCAAGAATCGTGTTACAATTTGAGCGCTTGGCGGTGCTTCCCGAAGTTGCGCAGTTCGGGTGGTTCCCTAGCGGTACAGCTCGGCGTTTCGCCAGTATTCGGTGAAGTTACAGAATGTCCGCGTTCTTTTAGCTTTTACTGCTTCCACATTTTGAACGCGGTTCGGAGCTCAGAGTCTGTGTAACGAGTTTGAGCGCTTCGTGGCGCTTCCTGAAGTCGTGCAGTCCAGGTGGTTTCCTAGTCATGCGGCTCGGCGGTTTGCCAAACTTAGACGTGTCTACAAACTTTGGCGTTGTTTGTGCTTGTGGATACTTCCGACTCTTTGACTTGTTTCGAGTTGATTAGTCTATTGCATTAACTGAGCCGCTCGCAAAGGCCACTTTGGGTACTTTGTTCTCCGACTTACAGAGGGTTAGGAGGTTCGGTTTTCTTCGAGAGTATGAAGATTCGGAGCTCATTTACCTCTACCCAAGAAACATATGATGGTTTCGAGTTGGCGCTCCTTAGAGTTGGCAAGCCGCTTCGAGAGAAGTATGGGATGCTCACAACAAGACTTTCGACAGACGGAAAGTTTTGAGATACGAAGACATGCTCCAACGCAGCTTACATTCGTGACGCCGCCTAAAATCCAGTCTCCAAGCCTGCCAAACAACGAGGACGGGTAGCGTCCAAACTTAGACCGAGTCCGTTCGATCCAATTATTCCCACACAGAATCAGGGACAGGCTGAGTTGGAGGGCTTTCTTTAACCTTATTCCATTGCTTTCATGTCACGAAGCACATGATTATGGTCCTGAAAGTCACGCCACATAAGCAATTTGGTGACAAGCTCTGCAGGAAACGTCTCGTGGTCGAGTCGAGGACAGTCTCTGGTCAAGACCGACTGCTTGATGGAATACTATAAAGAACGTTCTGCTTGCATCAAGCGGGCGTTCTATATATAGGGATCAATAGTCGAGCACTCGCTCGACGTCAGGCATAGATCACGCAACATGTGTTGAAGGCGCGACGCGTCGACCTTCTTACTTTGAACGTTCCTTCGCCTTAATTCCAGACACCGTTTTCAGCGAGACATTCCACACGCCTGACATTCTGAAAGGACTACGAGAGTGCGCGCGGTCGCCGTCGAACATTTCAGGGTACTGTTTTCATTGCAAAATGTTCATTATTTGCAGGAAGCGAATGTTCGCGATCCTGGAAACGGTCGTCAACGAGCGGTTCGACAGGCCGGACGAACACAAGGGCCGCCGGGACTACGCGCAGTTTGTCGTCGAAAACTGCCCCGACTACCGGCAGATCGTGCCGGCGCACCTCCTGAGCCTCATGTTCGCCGGGCATGTCAACACGGTACGGTTCTTGGCTTCTCTTCTCGCCCTCATTCCCTCGTTTCTCGCTTCCTCGGCTGTACTATCGCTGCTTTCGTAAAGCCAATCCAACTTTCTACCAAGAATTCATTCGCCATATTTCGGAAAGCTCGATCAGCTTCTTCGTTCCTTATTAGCACGCTCCTTCCGGTGATGAACCCGCAACGGAAAACCGGCGCTTTGCAAGCTTGACGAAACGAAACAGTCAGTTTGAAAGGGCCTCGTAACTCCCCGCAGGCCGGAACAATGGGCTGGAACATCGCCCACATCGCGTCCGACGAGGCCCTCCGACGCGCAGTCTGCGCGAAGGTGCGCTCCGAGGGGGATCCCTTCGCGCGGGGCGCTGACGTCAGCAGCATGACGTCGGCGGGCATCGCGATCGCCGCCAACCGGGCCGAGCTGCCGCTCGTGGACAAGTGCGGCCGCGAGACGAACCGGCTGTACGGCATTCTGATCCTCGTCCGAGCGGTACGGGAGCACCCAGATTTCAACTTATTTCCTTCTTTTTAATTAACTTCTCAGAAGTTTGTTATCTTGGCGATCAGCTTCCTCATTTTGGTCTTATCTGCAATCTGAAGGTGTCCAGTTCGGAGTCTTGAGGCGTGCGAATGTTTGCCTACATGCAGCGTCCGAATTTCACTCCTAATTATCAGACGGTTGGTTGAAGCTAATGTTCTAGAATTCACTCGGACAGCTGTCTTTGGAATGGTTCTGGTCGACCCAGTTGTCAAACAATTTCTGGAAGCGGCGGACGCCGGACGCCCGACTCCAAGAAGGTAGAATTTCATTGTAGTCGGACTCGTTTGTTAGCCTCTTGAAAATGTCATCTGCTTATAGCATCCAACAGTCAGGGAAAGCCGCTCGTTCTGGTTTTAAGGCGTCCGGACTTGAACACCCAATGGCAGTCATCGAGCAAACCTGCTAGCGCAAGATCTGATAGCCCGCCGTTTCCCGCACAACGCTCTTCAACGGTTTACAAGTCCATCCTATTCCGTAAACAAAGTCTTTGATTGCGCTTTGATTGGACACTCTTTGACGAGGCTTGACAAACGCATGAATAAGGTGCTATAACCTTCGATTCTTTTTTCCCGCAGGTGTTGAAAGACACAGCATTCGATGGCATTGCTCTGCCGAAAGGCACCACCGTCGCTTTTAGCCCATACGTCTGCCACCGGGACCCTTTGGTGTATACCGACGTGAATAAGTTCGATCCTAAACGATACTCAAAAGCCGGTTTAGAAGAGCTGAACACGAATCGGCACTATGTTCCGTTTGGGGCGGGCAGACATGCTTGCCAAGGGCAGCGATTCGTGACAATCATCTTACGGATTATATGGACTACTCTGTTCCGGGACTTTGAACCACTTATCGAGAACCTAGCATTGCCCGAGCCGGAGTATTACGGAGCGCTTGGGACGCCGCTCCCAAAGGCCCCTGTCAAGCTGCGGCTGCGTAAACGAACAGAGGAGTCGTCCTAGCATAAAGACAATCATAGGGCTCCCTTCTAGTACTTCCCTAATTGAACACGGCTGACAGCACCAGTCGAGGCCCAGAATACCCGCATACCATATATACGCTATTAGCAAGTTATGACATGGTTTGTCAATCACCAGGGTTGAGAACCAATAAGTACGAGATTCGTCTGGAATGCGTCACATCCTTGGTAAGAAGTTGTCGCGCATGCGGGCCCTGATAAACATGTCTTTTGTCGATCGCGCCAGAATCGTACGTCCGTACATTTGGGGAGTCGAGTGATAAGCGATGGTAGAAATGAACGAATGATGCAGTTTTTTTGCGATCGACTCACAACTCTGGGTCGATTGAGCCGCGAATCGACTGGAAAAGCTAATCAACTTCAGGCTTGACGCTCTCTTACTTTGTACGGACGGTTGTATCATTTCTATGGACCATTGACCCCACATGCATGCAGCTCAGCTAGTACCGTCGCAAGCATGCATGAGAATATCATTGCATTACTCCGCCGAATTATACTACAATGATAATAATCATCTACAATAAGATCATGTTTATTGGTAATCTTAACGCATGCAGCATGCATGATGCACTCATTGATTGTCTCTTAAATGGTTGTTGGATACCAAGCTTTCAATCGTCGTGGCATGTGCCATGCAACAAATTCGGGCTATAATTCCACACTTGCAGAATGCTGAAAGATTATCATATATCGACTTGCGGCCGTGACGGTGTCCCATGGCACAGTTGGAATACAAGTCGTTTTTCTCCTGTATACGGAGCACACTGCATCTGTGACTTCAACCATGCATGCAGCACACACATACTTCTTCAATCAAGATCGATAATGCAATGAACAGCTTCAATCTAGCTCTCGTTGTTCAAGCGTCTCTAACTTAGTCCAATCAAGTAATCACTAGATATTTGGTCAACCTGCTCCTCTACACATAAACAAACTTGAAGTTTCTTCTTGACTCCAGGTTTTGAAGCCTGCAGTTGCCTCAGTATAACGTACCTTTGCTAAGACAATCTGCTACTCACTAAGATTCTATATGGTACAAGTACATGACTCGCTAGACTGGGGTCAACCTGGCAAGCGTAGTGACGAAAATGCACTTTCCTGAAAGCGCTATTTAGATTGGCTGACCGCATACCTACCCCTTGACCGATCCCGGAGTCCTTATGTTACCTATATACCAAGTTTTATTCACTACGCTAACTTTGATCAACTTTGAATTTGACGGCGAAAGGCAAAAACGTCCTGCTTTCTGCAGTCGATCTTCCTTTGGTGACCAATCTGAGTCTGATCCTCAATCAAAGCTGAGCCAAGTCAATAAACCTGAAACGTCACTG